TTTTCTTACTAGGGTAGGTTTGTCTTACTAGGGTAATACTGTCTTTTAGATAATAAGGTCCATCATCAATATGAGTCAACACACCCCAGACCCCTTCTCCATGAAACCAACAATATATACTTTTCCGCCTTACATTATGATAATCTAGCCTTACAGAAATCCTAACAGTGAGCGGATCGTTACTATACAGAAGTCATTAGTCCCTGGGAATGCTATCAATTATTCAACAAGTTATGCAAAATGTCATCAAATTTACCGTTCGTAGCGTTGTTGGCCTTCACCAAGATGTTCTCAGCGTCCTTGTAGGCCTTTTCCTGGTCTGGACTGTCAAGGTCGTGGACATTTCCTAACAGAATCATGGCCTCGGCCACATTCACCCAGGTTTCGGGCTCGTCCTCGTCTTGCGAATCCTTCAAGTACTTGAGTGCCGTCAGGTACAATTGTTGACTGGCTTTCTGAGCCTCGTCCCTCGAAAGACCGTCAATGTCCTTCTTGTCCTTAGCATAGTAGGTCAATGTAGTGTACACGTTGGAGGGTGTTTCGGCCTCCATAAGGTAGGACTGGCCCAAACGCTTGCACAATTCCCGGCGCAAGGTGGTCAATGGGTGGTCCTTCTCTTTCTTTGTTTCGCCGGCTAGGCGTTTGTCTAAGTTGCCCAAGAAGATGATCAGGTGATCTCTCCACCATCGGTTGTACTTGTCTGTGTTCTTGATGGAGAAAAGCGGGTGGTTTTCATCCAACCTGTGCTCCAGAGCGTCATCTTCAGCGTCGGAATCCTCCCCTTCCATGTGCTCCTGGCCAAAGTTGTCCACCACATCAAGGAGGTCGTCCAAAGCCTGTAGGAAATCCAAGCTCTCGATGTTGTAGTAGTCGTACTGATTGAGTTCGCCAGAAATAGACTCGGCCTTCTCCCACTGGGCAAGACACTCGTCCAAAAGCTGAGCACCGGTCTGCGATTTTGCACCCACTCTGCTCTCGGTATCCAAACGAGAAATCACCGTCAAGGCGATCTTGTTGATCATGATACGTGCCTTGGCAAAAAGAATGTCTACGGAGTTGGGGAAGAGCTCCTCGCCCCGGGATATGCGATCCATGGCTTCCGTGAAGTAGGCCTCCACCTTGTCTCTTTCTTCAGTGTGGAAGAAGGCCAAGTTGGAAAGCGCCAACGCGTATATGGCGTAAAAGCGGCCCGTGATGTCCACGTTCTCCTCGTCGCTGTCCGACTTGTCCAGATGGGCTTTTCTTAAGATTCTGTCGCATTCGTGGATGATGCCGTTGAGAACAAGCTCTTTCTTGTCTTCCAGCACAAAATAGGTTCTCCACAAAGCGGCCAACTGGCCCACGGCGTCGTTAGCGTCGATTTCAGCACCCAACTCCACAGTAAGCTCGTTGGGTTCTTCGTTATTCGATCCATTCGATTCACTAGCCACAGGAGCATCAGAGTGGCCATTTGGGGCTCCATCTTCGTCTGCGGCTTCGTTTTTTTGCTTTTTCGCCCGGGCAGCCTTGCCCAAGCCTAACGGTCTTTTTGGAGGCATGGATTTGCAGAATTCAGTGTGTAGCTCTTAAGAAAAAGAGCTGGTTGCAAAGAGAGAAGCGAAAAAATGCACGCCTCATTCGCCTCATGTGGATATACTGGGAGATGCAGCGCTGCAGTGGGTCTGTCCACGACATCGCGACACTCCATCGCGCGACATTTGTTCGACCCTTACCCACATAACCATGGAAACTAGCCTGTTGGAATTTAGCCGCTGTGCTTACAACGGCCCTACTTCCCGCTCGATCGTCACGGCTAGATGTCTTGGTGCACGGGTGTACTAACACCCCCTTAGCTTTCCAGTCAATTCAATAAAAAGCCCTTCCATAGGCTATTTTGCAGCCATCCTTCTTCTCCATCAAAATCTCAATTTCCAGCAGAAAAGTTGTTCTAGATGTCACCAGCCTCATCACAGCCCCAGCTTCAAAGTACCCAGGGGCGCGTGACCCAGAAAGACGCCTTGGGCTGGTGAGAATTCAACATCCACCAAAAGAACCCCCCACGCCCATTGGACCGTGCCCACACCGACGTCATCGTCGTACTGAAGCCCACTTTTTGTCCCGCCCACCGAGGCCCAGGCGGGTATTTTGGTATGGACCACTTGTCGGCATTCGGAAGCCCATAATTTAGGCGCCTTTGTGATCGATCACGATGGTGGTGGGTTTGGGGATAGAACACCCATTTTAGGTTCGCCAGTTGCCCAAAAAGCTAAACTCAAAGACGTGTCAGGCCACCAGCAGAAACCGCTTATAATTGTCTGCTTTTGGCATTGGTTGCTCTGTCGACTGGACCAGACCGAGTGAAAAAGCTTTGTCTGTGGCAGGCCCATGCATTGCTTTCCATGCGCGGCGGGCAATGATGCTTTCTTCTTTTCTTTTTCTTTCCGGGAGTTTCTCCAGCAGGAGGACTTTAGCGGAGCAGCAGAAAGGGTGGAGTTTTTGCAACCACTGGGTTCTTTTGATCTACATGCCCCGCCCCCACGCTGGATTTGCCCCGCGTTGCAATTGTTATATTGCATTGTGGGCCGCACGCGGAAGGGGAAATTTGGTCCGGGAAACGGGAATCACGTGGCAAGAGGCACGTGACCCAGTGCGGGTGACTTTGTTCCCGTGATACGAATCACCCTCCACTCATCACGTGCTGATTACATCTCCTCACGTGCATCGCTCACGTGCAAGTAGCTAATCAGGACGGCTGCAAAGTACATAATCAAGCAGGATCCATCAAGAAACCCCAAACCACTCATGACCCTTCTAGCGTCACTCAACTGTGCTGGTGAACTGCACGTGATCGTCGGTGGAAAGGCTCCTGTTGCTGCCATCAGAGCCAAGGCCATTTTGGCCGCAGGGGCTTCCCCCATACTTATTGAAGTTTCCGATGAGCTTCCCAAAACTTTAGAGGGACTCGTCGAAGAAGGCAAAGTGAAACATGTCAAGGAGGAGTACTCAAAGACGCTTCTTCAACAGCTCGGACGCCCGGATGTCGACAATGTCGTGGACAGGGTCTTTGTCACCTTATCTCACACAGAGCTGCTTCTCAAGAAACAGGTTTCTGACGACTGCAAGAGGCTACGGATTCCTGTGAATATCACCGATTCCGCCGAACTCAGCACCTTCACTTTGCTCTCCACACACACGGCTGGCGATTTCCAGTTTGGCGTGACAACCTCAGGAAAAGGTTGCAAATTGGCCTCCAGAATCAAAAGAGAGCTTGTTTCGTCTTTGCCACCCAACATTGCTGAAATTTGCAATAGAGTCGGTGAGCTCCGAAAGCAGATCCAGGAGGACGATCTTGAAGAAGTTGGTGGCCACGATGATGATGCCATAACCACCAGTAAGCTTAATTCGTTGGTTAAGGAGTTCAGCATGACCAGACTGCAGCAGGCTACGCAGCGGTCCCGCTGGCTTTCTCAGATTGTGGAATACTATCCGCTTTCGAAATTAGCAGAGATCTCATTGGAGGACTTGAAGGAGCAGTACAGACAAGACAAGGAGGAAAGCCTCCAGAGAAAGAGACAGAAGCTCCAGAAGAAAGGAGAACTTTCTCTCGTGGGTTCCGGTCCCGGCTCCGTTTCCATGCTTACGCTTGGAGCGCTTCAGGAAATCCACTCTGCTGACCTCATTTTGGCAGACAAGCTTGTTCCTCAACAGGTGCTTGATCTTATTCCCAAGAAAAGCACCAGACTATTTATTGCCAGAAAGTTCCCCGGCAACGCTGAGCGTGCCCAGCAGGAGCTTTTGGAGATCGGGCTTGATGCCCTTCAAAAAGGTGAGAAGGTGGTGAGGTTGAAACAGGGCGATCCGTACATATTTGGCCGTGGCGGTGAAGAGTTCAATTTTTTCACTGAACACGGCTTCCCGCCCGTGGTTCTTCCTGGCATCACCTCTGCTTTGGCAGCACCCGTGTACCTGAATATTCCAGCTACTCATCGTGAGGTAGCTGACCAGGTACTTATATGCACTGGAACCGGCCGCCGTGGAGCTCTTCCGAACCTTCCAGAATTCGTGGAGTCCCGTACGACCGTGTTCCTCATGGCTCTCCACAGAATTGTTCTGTTGATCCCCCACTTGATCGAGGAGAAAGGCTGGAGAGCTGATCTTCCCGTGGCTATTGTGGAGCGGGCCTCCTGTCCAGACCAGCGGGTTATCAGAACGACATTGGAGAAGGCGGCAGCAGCTACCGAGGCCTTGGGTTCGAGACCCCCGGGATTATTTATTGCAGGCAATGCCTGCCATGTTTTGACAAAGAAGGGCGACGAGGACTGGACCGTTGAGGAAGGTACACTCGAGCCCAAATTGAGTGGATTTTTGCAGCAGTTGAGCCATCCCGTGGAGGGCGAGAGAATTGCTGCTGAGCCGCTCACGCCCGACTTGAAGGTTCCAGTTGTGGCGAAGTAATAGAGATACATGCATAGACAGTGGGACAGTTTTGGAGGTGTGGGTGTAGGCCTTTGTTACGGTGATAAAATTCAGTACGTTGGCCCGAGGAGATGAAGCAGAGTTTGTGGGGTAGGTTTAAATGTTGATACTATTGCAATGCACGAGTTACATGGGGTATCGTTAGCCATACATGAGTATTATGACATGCTTTTCTAGTCGAAATGCCGCATCAACTACAAACGTTTTGAAGCCTTCCATTAAATCAAATCTAATGGACAACCAACGAATATCAATAGAGTTTGAAGGTCTGATATCAGCAATTATGGTGCACTATACATTCTCGAATTTTGCAGCCACTATAATCACCATCAGAGCGCAAGTCCGCTTCCTAAAAAAAACCTTCTTTTTTCAACACCAGCTCTTAATCTCCTTCAACACCTCTTTTTTTTTTTTAACAAACTCCAAATCCATTTACTATCCCCCCCTAGTGCTCTAATACTACCTCACCTACCCTACCGCGCGCGATATCAACACTTTCAGAACACCTTATCTCAAATAGACTATCCCGACCATTCCGCTCCACAATGCTTTTGGCACCCACATTAAGGCAATTGTCAAAACGTGCATTTGTTCCTAGAACCTTATACCGTTCTCGTTCGGATGTGGCGTTTGTGTTCGATATAGATGGAGTGCTTATGAGAGGATCAAAGCCGATTCCACAGGCTCACGCATCGCTCGATCTCCTTAACAAAAACAAAATCCCATTCATTCTTTTGACCAACGGCGGTGGTGTTTCTGAAAAATCGAGAGTCGACTTTCTCTCCGAACAGCTTCAAATCGACTTATCGCCTCTCCAGATTGTCCAAAGCCATACACCAATGAGAGTCTGGGCTCAAGAGGGCAAATACAAAAGGGTGCTTGTTGTTGGCGGAAACGACGATAAAGCTCGGTACGTGGCGGAGGATTACGGATACAAGGACGTGGTGGTGCCTATGGATATCGTGAAACTGGATCCTGCTGTTTCTCCACACCACAGGTATCTGGAGGAGCAATTGGCCACAATGGCCCGTAATGTGGATTTGAGCACTCCGTTTGATGCTGTTTTGGTCTTTAACGATCCCAGGGACATGGGCACGGATTTGCAGATCGTGATGGATCTTCTCAACTCGAAAAACGGTATTGTCGGGACCAAGAGAGGCCTCGACGAGCGTTCACCAAAGCCTTCGGTGCCAATTGCATTCAGCAACAACGACTTTGTATGGGCCAACGACTACGTTTTGCCTCGTTTCGGTCAGGGAGCTTTTAGAATGGTGGTGGAGCGTCTCTATGCCGAAATGAATGACTTGAGGCCTGAACAGAACCTCGAACTGACCATCTTGGGCAAACCTTTCCCTGTTCAGCACGATTACGCCCATTGGGTACTTATTGAGTGGCACAAAATCATTCACGGCCACAAAGACCACGGGTTTATTCCTAAATTGCACGTCAGGCCCGAGAATTCGCCATTTTCAGAAATCTACATGGTGGGCGACAATCCAGAGTCTGATATTGCCGGTGCCAATGCTTGTGGATGGCGATCTGTTTTGTTACGGACGGGTGTTTTCAAGGACGATGACTGGGCGGTGATAAAGCACAAGCCTAATGTTGGGGTGTTTGACAATGTTCTAGAATCAGTCGAGCACGTACTCAACAAACAATGAGCCAATGACGGATGTACGATTACTTGCAGCCATAGGCCCGCTCCGTGAAATTGCAGCAAGTCTTGCCGGAAGGCTTGTTTCATGAAACAAGAAGATCGTAAGTTGCGCGATCTAAAAGCTAATCCCGCTGATGACGGTAAAGTTATCCGCAAGACAATGATGTTGATGCGCCCTATGACAATGATTATCCCCTCGTGTCTAAGATAACAATGGCGATTGTCTCATCAGCGGAGAACGTGGGCGGGCTGAATTTTGGCTACTTTAAGAGACGCCCCTGCGATCCACAATGGCAGATTGACCGATGAGTGACTTCTGGAGAATAATGAACGATCTGGTGATCTCAATGAGCTTCAGATTAACGGCCGCCTCATGCATGTAGGCCGCCTTACATCAGAATATGCCTAGATTTGGATGTTGAGGGGCCTTTAGTTTTCACGAGCTAGATCTACGTTTCTAGAAACAATCTGGGGAGCCTCAACGCAAGGAAGATCCCAGCGTTGGTCGAAAAAAATAACAGCACGCGAGCGCATAATTGCGTTTTATATCACTCCACAATGTGGGTTGGGCGATCGGCGGTTTTTGCGAGCAGACTATCGGGTTTTAGCTCAACTTGTTTTCAGGAAGTAAAGAATGTTCCATGATCTCACACATCCAACAAAGAGATTGTTGAATTTGCGATTAACGGAATTGCTTCATCAAAAAAACGCCAGATTTTTTTTTATCGCCAGAGTGTCATTTGGATAGGCTCTTGGCGAAAGTGAGCTTTTAAGCGAGAGAGTGAGAGACATGCAAGGCTTCTACAGCGAGCTAAAAAATATCTTGACGAGTTTCCAGAAGACCAGGTTGCAGCTGGCCGATTGCCTGCAGGATGCGAATGAACCGAAAAGCCGCCCCTCCTTTGTCTCACTCACAGGGCGACCGCACCTCTCTTAACCGGACGTCAAACCGAAAAAAAAAAAAAATTATACTCTGAGGTCTGCATCCCTGGCTAAGCACACAGTCTTATTTGTGAACCACAGGGTGCTTAATGATATCTCCGAGGCAAGGTGAACGGTGAGGATGCTAACTCTGCTTTGTGCTTGCAAAGTTGTAATTCAATAGCTCGATCGACATACCAGCGGACTTCATCTCTCGAGGACAATAAGTGCCTTATTGTCGCGAGACAATGAACCTGTCGATTGCCTATTGTGGAAGAAGAACGGTGCCTGTTGATGGTTAGAGAAAACGGAGCGGAGCAATAATTAGCAAGGTGGAGCTGGCTATTTGGTTTTAAAAAAATACCTCTAATGTTCCTACATGATGAATAGTCAAGCCGGTGAGCGCTCCGGTTAGCGATGCATGTGAAAGAAACCTACCGATGGGAGTTACCGCATTGGTGCTGAGTCAAGCGAGTCATCCTGGCTGGATCATTATTGCGATTGGTTGTGGCGCCTTGAAAATGAACAGCAAAGTTGCGCTTTTCCCGACGACCGAACGAACACAAAACAGAGAATCGGGCGCCAGATCGATTACCCGATCGTGTTGGTATGGAGAGCGCTTTGCCCATTGAATCTAACTTTGTTTGCCCATGGATCTGAGCCACCTTAACAGCGCAATAATGCCCAAGACGCGGGAGGCTTTTTTTTTTGCCCACCAAAGCCACCTGCCCGTTTGATCTCTACTCAATCGGCGTCTTGCATGCTCATGCAGCACTCACTCTCTCACGAGCCTATTGCATGCTGATCCCTGCATTACCGGATACATCATGCGGCGCTGTGCGTTAACCTCGCGGCCTGCCCCCCACGTCAACACATTGCAATGTCCTTCTTCTAGGAGAGCGTAAACTCCGTCGCTCCAAACAAGTACGTCTCCGTTGAAGCCCTTTAGATCTGCAGTGCCACAAAGTTTCCCCTTTGTGTATTTGAAAGTCTGGCTATGCACCCGTGATAAAATTGCGCTTTGCTACCTACCGCCTTCCTGCAACGCGGCAAGCTTTATCGTAGGCTGCGCATTGGCTCGGTCTTATACCGGTGTTCCGTCAATAACTAGGTTATTCCATCGTCCTAGAGCTGGCGTCGTTTTGCAGCCCGCCATGCCTCAAACATCTCCGTCGGAACGGTTATCTTGATATAACATGTCCTACGTTGCACAAGACCCGGAGATAGGTTAGGCGTAACCATTGCTATACCAAAGCTCTCAACCCAATGACACCTACACGGGCAAGTCGGTGCCAGGAGCTGTAGTACGTTTGTGGCGCCTAATTGCTAATATAGGACTTTGTGCGTGGCCATTCTTGTGCATGAGTTGGAGGGAGCCACCAGGACCCTTGGCTACTGACAAAACAAATGACGGGTGTCAACGTGTACCTAATATTTCCTTCTATAAATGCCCGAGGGCGAGGTCGCCAGACCTGAATTGAACGTTTTTGAAATTAAGAATAGACGTCGGCTTGTCACCTGTACACGGGGTATTCGTGGTACACTGGTGACGCCGATGAGGAGCTTGTAGAAACAGGAGTGCTGGATGCTGGAGGAGAAGCCTGTTGCTGCTGCTGCTGTTGTTGTTGTTGTTGTTGTTGCTGGTACGGAAGAGGAGGAATTTCAATCACCTGCGCCTGCTTCAGTCTCTTTTTCGACTCGTCTAGCGCCTGTTTCTTCACCAGAATCCTTCTTCCGTTCTTTCCCTTACACACCTTATTGTTGAGCACCTCCTCGGCAGCCCAGGCGGCTCCTTTTCTTCTGACCAACTTGGCATGGAAAAGCCCACAGGCATTGCATAGCGTCCGCAACCCGTTGGGGCCTCTTTTCCACTCTGGCGTTTCCGTAGTACCGCATCTGTGGCACTTGTTCATGGGTTTGTTGATGATCTCTGGGACCCTATAGTCTGCAGCCGGTTTGGCCAGAGGCAGGCTCACCATGGGAGGCAGCGGGTAGTACACGGGCACGTAGTAAGGCAGCTGGTACTGAAGATGAGGTGGCGCCTGGCCATAGGAGTAGTATGAGGAAACTGGAGGAGGAGGCTGCATGTGGTCATAGCTGTGCTGCCTTTGATAGTGGCGCTGGGGGTTTGGATTAAGCACAGGCAGCAAGTTCAGGGGCAGGATGGGAGGTCTCGAGGAGATCATGTTGTGGAGGGGATCCAGCGGAGCCATTGAACGGCTCGTGAGTTCTGAGATGGAAGGGAGTTTCACTTTTGTAGCGGTAGCGGCGGGCATAACGAGAGGTGGGGATGTGGGAGTTTGGGATTCGAGGAACGGCTGCAAAAACGGGGCGGGTGGGTTATATATATTTGACAGGCGGTAGTATGTAGAGGTCTGATCAGGCGAGGCATTAAGGTTTCATTAGCCGAGATAAAATTCATGAACGTGAAAATGCATGCAGCAGACGAGCTGCAGTGCGGCACACAAGGGCAAAGGAAAATATGTGGTGCATGGAATGCTGCAGCACGCACGTTCGCTGGCGTGCATTGCAGCACGCCTGGTGCCACCTCCCGCACAAAGCTCTCTCTTTCCTGCCACTCCGTGCGTGCTGCACCTCCGCTATATGGCGGAATTACATCTCCATATAGCGAGCCGTTCCATTCCAGGCACCGTCCTTTCTCGTGTTTTCCCCAGAGAGTCATCTTGGCTCCAACGTGATGTTGCGGCTATCTTTGCGCCTTTTGCTTGTTCATAATCAGATTGGCTGTGTGCAATTGATTGTTTATCGTTTGCATACCTCTCGGCCTTGCCCCCTATGGAACCTTAATTTGTAGGATTATTTTCCTGTTAAGGTTAGTCCGTTGGCCAGGGCAACCCCCTCGTTGGAGGCTCTGGGGTTGTGAGTTGCGTGTTATGGAGAAATGGCTAGCTAATACAAAAAATCATTGTGGCTCAATTGCATTAATTGGCTCCGACGCTGGACGGTTAATGTGCGGTCGAAATGCCGTTGCAAACTGGCCTCTTGCAAGATAAGATGGCACGGTTTCAGTTTCCCAAACCGGCAGGTGCCAAAACGGTTTGAATCTCTTTGTTTTTCCTACCCCAGTAGTCCCCCAGCTCCCCAATCATATGGAGATTTGCATCAAATGTTGAGTTGGGATCTCTTGCTGCAACCGCAAACATCCACATGAGCCCTGTCAGTGTGGAGTCCACGTCCTGGGGCGTTCAGCGATACCTTGGCGAGGTCAATGATCGACAGAGGATGTAGGCCGTGCTGGAAACGCCGATCTTATGCTTGGAAAATAATGGCACGTGACCGCGCACGTGCCGCCCAAAAACCGGGGCTTGGGCTATTATCGGCGGGTTTTGGGCCGATGTGTACTTCCGAAGGGGGTAAAGGGGCTATGATTTGTTTTGAAGCACTCGGGAGTGTTGATACCTTGTAGTTATGTCGAAATCACTAAGTTTTATGGGGGTGCGTCGGATAGGTGCATGGAAATCAGACGATTTCTGGAAGCCAGCCATAAGCCCTACAGGCATTCTAGAAAACGCCCGTGTGTGCAGAGATTAGAGCCTTTCGGCGCTTTGAAAGCTTGGTTTAGTTTATCCAAGAACGGGATCTCTGATGATCGTCCCTGGTGTGAAATTACGAATATTCCAAGCCAAATTCAGTTACAGCTTGCCCCTATCTTAGAAGCCCTGGAATCTACATCGTGATAACACGCTGGGCGTTTTGTCGTCGACAGAAATCACCCCGGGTTCGTTGCCACGACAACGTCTCCGATGGTTATACTCCGATGAATAATCTCCGGTGGTTAACGAAAAATGTCACGGCAAAGACGTCGAAAATACTCACAACCACACGACTGAGTGGCTCTGGGGCTTGTCTTCAGCCAATGGAAAAAGATGGAGATGTTTTTCCGACGTCACGGGTAAAAGATGCCTCATTTGTCGTTCCTCCAGTGTATTTTAGCCTCCAACAGCAGGACCCTTTTTTAACCCTTGAGACAGTGAAGAACCCCGGCCGCTCCGAATCTGGCCAATCTCCAGCGGCAATCTCAGCAAAAGCTTTATGTCCGGTTTGGCCTCGGTGTGGTTCAAAACCATCCATCTTAACTCCTACAATAGGTTCGTTCATGCATCGAAGTAATGGTTGTGAGAAGACGCCACGGCTGCAGCGCTAGGTGAAAGAAGAAATTAAGAGAAGGAGAAGGAAGAAAGAAAGAAGCCAAAAAATCAGCTATGTCCCTTGTCGCCAAAACTAAGTCTATTATCAGTTTTTGCGCATCCAACCGCCCGAATGCAAGCAACACCGTCATGCTCAGGGCTTCAGCACACAAGATTATGTCACTGTGGGTCCAGGGCAGCAGGCGAGGTTAAGAGAAATTCTGCAATTTTAGGGGCGGGATCTGGGCAAGAGGTGTAGGAAAAGGAAACCTAACCGTGGGATTTTTAGCGATTGCGCTTTCCGATCATCAGGTGCCCTGGACCACCCATGCCAAGATAAGAAGGTATATGCGATAAGGCAACTAATGTAGATTCTGTATTTGACAGCTCGTAATACGGGGCACACAATGGGGGTTCTAAAAGTAAAGGGCCTCGGAGGCTGGGGCCTGTGTGCAGACGATCTCAGGGTCTATCTCAGGGCCTGGGCGTGATCGGGTTTATTGCTACAAAATTAGCACCGGGTGCATAGACGTGGAAAGGAGTATAGGATCTGGTTGTCATGGAAAAATAGGCTTTAGCGTTATCTCTCCGGGTGCTTTTCGGATAAACTTTTCGAGATTAGGAGGGAGGGTTCTGCCGCGCCACGCATTGTCGATCCCTTTGTGACTTATGCGCTTTGTGACAAGAAACGAATCCTTCCGAGGTTGACCTCATCCGAGGTGCAGACCTTTCGCTTATGTCCGGTAGGGTGTTGCAACGGCCACCGGGGGAACCAGTGTTGGTTATGTAGCCGCCCAGAGCTTTGGGGGCCCCCAAATAATTCGCCGCGATAATGCGTGTTACATGCATCGAAACCCACGCATCATGCTGTGGCCCTGCACAGAGCTTGGCCTTCTACACCCTTCCGGTTTAGGCGATCTCGCTTAAGCGCCCGCGCCTGTCCCAAACAGGAAGGTCGTTCTCAGCCGACATGACACTTCTAGAAACTCGCGAGTTTACGGTGCCATATCTCCTCGTCAACCGTAAAAGCCTATCTATCTGCATCTCCAGAGTGCGAGGATCGACCCCCCATCAACGGCCTTTTTAGACACCTCACTTAAATGCCGCTCTAAACTGCCACAATCCATAACTACCTCCACGCCAAGCGCTTAATCACCTTATGTCCTCTGCATCTCTAAAAGGTGTAGCATACGAGTGATATGTCCGGGGGAGGCACTTACAGGCCGTCATGGAGGGGACCTGAAAAAACCAAACTTTTCCAGAAAACTTTTTTGAGCGCTTTTTCCATGCTTTTCATGGTTGCCACCATCGTCACCTTATTTACATCTCGCTAAAGTCACTCAATGCCCGCCATTGCTGTGGAATTAGCCGCCAGGGAGATGCGCAAACCCTTGAAGCAGGAGGTGCCATCCGCCGTGTGGCCCCGATGCGTTTTTAGTAGTTTTCTGTCACAAAAGTGCTTCGGAAGAATTCTGTAGAAGCATCGTCGGTACAGCTTCATCTTCTTGCACGGGACCAATCCAGGATTCCTTACTTTAAAGCTTAAACTCTAAACCAGCCACTCCAAGAAATTCCGCCGCAATTAGTCAAATTGACAAATTGGCTAGTCCCATCGGAACCTGCTTTGTGATCGCTAAGCCTGCGAACTCGATGTCCCTCAGGAACAGGCGATCCTCCGGCACCTCCACGATCCATCGGCAGAAGTTGCCATGGGGCTTCGTTTTTGCAAATTTTTCCCCTCCGTTTGCCCTAAGCGGTTCCAGCATAATGCACCGTTTCCCGCCTCAAGTGCTTTTGAAATGTCACGAAGCAACTGCCGCTGGAGTATCTGCTAAAGACAAGGGTCAGACGGGACGCATGCATGATTTAAGACAAACTTTCGGGGAGGGGATTTCCAGAAGTTTGATAAAATAAGGTTGACGCAGAAGCATGGCGCCGAAGTTTGATAGCGTGCTTACGAAGCAGTGGTGGTGTTTTGTTGGTCTAGCCCGATGTTCCGGTAAATTCCCCTTTGGGCATTGTCTTCTGTGATACTTGTTTTCTTGCTCTCCTACTCTAACCGCAATACTCCTCTTTGAACCTCTTTGTGGAGCCCAAACTTCGTCTATGTGAAACTAGCCCCGTGGAGCTTACCCGGGCCACATCCGAGAGGGTAATATTATCTCGGCAAACTACGAGGCCTTTGCGTCGGCAATGCTTCATAAGCCTGGCCGGTATTGAGAAACCTCACACAAAAGAGCTTTGTGTGACAGGCGTGTTGGGTTTACGGATCTCGTGAATTTCACCTTGATTTTGTAAGTTTTGCCCGAGTCGTCTGGTGGGTGCATTGGAAACAACACTTGCCTGGTTTGCTAAGCCGTCAGGGCGGTCTCGATCAAATCTTGCTTGATGCAGATTCCCCGATCGAGGCGTCGTTTTGCGGCAAAGCCAATTGGTACGAGAAGGAGGGTACGGTTAAACGGAGATGGGATAGAAGTTGTTGGATTGTAGGTGGTTGGGAGGGTGGGTCCAGGGTGGGTCCAGGGTGGGTCCAACATCATAGGCATATCGTGAAACAAGGCACCAGATAGAACTGTTTCAGACATGAAACCCGAAGCAACGTGCCAACATCACCCCATCCTTTTTCAGAGTTCCGACAGAAGCATTCCCCCCAGCAATGCAATTGACAAACGCATTCCACATCCCCTATGCCCAGCATGTTTAGCTCTCTTTGCATATCAGCGGTTCACCACATGAGACACTGTCTCACCGAATGGCCTGTAGCGGATAACATGAAACAGATAAGTGTGAGGCGAATGGCTGGGCATCTGTTTCAGCTTGAATTGACGAGGAAGGGCTTGTTTTGTGCCTCGTGTGAGGTTTCGGATCCAAAGTTGCAGCCGATATTGAGAACATCTTCGCCGCATTACCCGAGACATGGAGTTAACGGGTTACGACATTCGAGAAACATCACCAAAAAGCGTTAAAGCAATGAGATCAGTGTGGGGCGTGGTCGAGCAAAATGTAACATGGTTCATGTTTCCGTAGTCCATGTATCTTCCCTGATGTCCGCAACCGCACACGGATGTAACTCACGGTTGTTCCGAAGGTGGTTTCAGAGCGGCATTTTCGTAACCTAGATGCCTTAATATTCGGCGAAAAAGCTTTAGCAATGCTTCATTATTTTCTTTGCTTCGGTATCACTATCCATGGATATATCACTATTATATAATCTGATGGGCCATGTGACGTAGTGCAAGCTACATTGGCCCAATGGTGGTGTGGCCACGATGTCAGGCTGAATCACCCATAGTGCATCGTATAAGAACCAATGGTGTTTCAAAGCTCTGAAGTCAAATTTGGTTTCAAATGAAATCTAGGCTCCGGCTTCTATGAGATCCAGATCGAGATCTCAGTGCCAAGAGCATGCACTGAATTAAGGTTCAGATAGTCAAATCTTGGTGTACATGAGTTTCAGCTGTTAAATCGCTTAAAACACAGAGGGATGGACGCAAGAATTATAGAGTATCATCATGAATGGCACCACATCGATGCAAGTCCCCTGTGGATGCATACGGGATAAGGTGAAGGTTCATGCAATTTTGACCCAATGTGATTCGTTTACTTAATTTTTTATGATTGAAGTTGACTTCGGAAGCCCCAGGGTAATCTGAATTACTGATTATCGAAGAACGGCATTAGGGTCCATGAGATTACTCACTATCTACTGGTGAGCTATAGAGGGATCGACCGTGTAGCCAAGCAGACTTTTATAACAAAGTGCCGTTTTCAAAGAAAAATAAAATCATGAAAACGGCCAAAATTCTCTATCATTATGATAATCTAAATCCACATCTTCATCATACTTCGCTTCTCGAGCGCACTATCATCCTCATGTCAGCTGGCAATCACAAATCCAACATTTTAAAAGCTTCGGCATTGAATTGATTTCTTAAAATCACTCTTGATAGAAATTTACCTAAAAACAGCTTCCATAAGGACTACTCTACAGCCTGAACACCTTCCAACTGCTTGAGCGCACGTGATCTCACTCAGTGTGAGAAACATCAAAATGCTCGTTTTCCGAGTTCCATCTACCGTTTGAACCTCCACAAAATACAAATATGGGTGCTGCTCAGGCGTACGAGTTTCCCCCAATCCGTATGTTACCACGCTGCTTCACTTTCCCAATATTTTACTAACCTCAGCCTCCCAGAAGGAGTTGGACGAACACGATGTTCCTTTCTTGAACAGAGACAAATGTGCTGCCAAGTGGATCGAATACAACAAGTGTCTCAATAAGGGCACCTCTTTTTGCAGCGCCACCAAGGATGCTTTTTACGAGTGTCAGTACGTTGCGTTGCAGCAGAGACTTGAAAAGCATTAGATAGCATGAATACAGACCCCCGATAAGATGACAGAGACGAGGCTTTTGACACTGGGGAGTGATCGGGAAGAATGAAACAGGAGTTTGTTAATCAAAATGAAGATTTGAGGGACATTACTGAATGGTTGGTGGAGATACATGGAGACTCTAGATTATCCACCTATGCGCTTTAGCCATCCAAACGAAGCCCACACAACAACACGAGTTGTACCTTCCACATACCTGGAAATTCTAAAACCCCACATGAACGACCCCCATTGCCCCCGTTTCATCAACCTCTCTACTTGTAGAAATCCGAATAGAATCTCTGCTTTCTTGATAGCGGCCTGCACACAGGCCTCACCCATCAACATTTTCAAACACACTGAACCCCATTGGACGAGAACACCCATTACCTATTCTACCAAAAATGGCTGTCACACAATACCCTCCTCTTCGTATGTGTTTTATTCAACCGGCTTATACGCAATTTACTAACCAAAGTTTCCGAGGATGACTTGCAAAAGTACAAAGTGCCTTTAAAGTGGAGAGACAGATGTGCTGCCTACTTTGCCCTCTACCAGACGTGTCTCTTTAGACAAAGTGCCAACGGCTCCGTGGACTGCCACCACGACAAGCACGTTTGGGAAGAATGTGAAATTTTGGACTTGAACAGAAGAAAGGCGGAATTGAAGGAAGTCAAGGAGAAGTTGAAGGCCGAGAACAACGCCTAAAAGTGCCTTCGAGGCGGCATCTATGTAATTGCATCAGCTGTGTACAAATAGACAGTTTAAAGGAAGAAAAGTTATCTGGCAGGTTGATTTGTGTGAGTTTGACTGAAGGTATTTGACTGAGATACAAGGTACGGCCATGTACTCGTCAGATGTGGTAAACGAGAACTCGAAATGCTTCATTGCCAACGTAGAACAAGCAGGCGATTATTTCAAGTAGGAAATGACCGTCAATGGTCCCTCTGGTCAGTCTGTGAGTCTCTTCAATGGTACTCATGGTCCTGATCGCCTGTAATTCAACACAAAGAGGTTCATCGGCAACGACATGGTCAACACATTAAGTAGAAGCCACCGTTCAACAATATCCCACGACAAATGCTGAATCGAGTTGATTCATCTCATCTCACATTGAGCTACCAGAGTACAAAGGATCAAAAGACCAAGACTTCAAGACAACGAGTCTCGTTGTGCAAATTGTGACAGTAGCAGAATGCCAGAGCCTTCCTTCTATTGCCCTAACGTTGGCCCGTAAAGTCTAAAAGAGAAAGAAGTTAAGAGATTTCGGCCAAGAACGCCTTGTGACTGCTCAAACAGACACAGCACGGAGCCCCTGGCCATATATTTTACCTCCGCTGTCCACACTGTGATATCAATGGCGGAAAGTGATACCAAGCTCTAGCATATTTCGGAGAAGAATAAATTACTATCAATGAGGAAAAACTCTGCAGAATCGCAGCTTATATAGCGATGGGCCTGCGGTCACGTGGAGGGTTTGGGAGGGACCGTCTAAATAGTTTAAAATAAACCCATGAAGTCAAAATAATCGCTCATACCTATTCATTTTTCCCTTATATTAATAAGATTACTTATTTAGGTCTATCCCGTCGTCTTGTTGCCTGAAGCATGCCAGCAGACTATATATACTTCTATAGTTGTTAACGGTAGTTTTTTGTCTTTTTCAACATGAATCATCGATTCGGTCTTTATCCGTTTCTTTCTGAGAATGTTAATGTGAATGATGAGTTCAGAATATGTAATGAGTTTGTTGGTGTGTTTATTTCCGTGATGCGTACTAATTATAAATGGCTGCGAATTTAGTCATTACTTTCCAAAAAGCTATAAATGTCTGAACATACTGTAAGGACACAACACACAAATTCTACAATTTTTGTTTATATGTATATTCAGTCCCAAGAGAGAATCACCGAAGATTCGTATGATTCAAAAATAACAATTTCTGAAAGCAATGCATGTCATTCATAGTTGTGTCTCAGAGTTCGCTAAATGGTCTTCTTGATGGAGTCCTAGAATCAACTCCATTCTAGGCGACGTAAAATTCATGAAACATTAATTCCGATCGAGTCATATTTTTATTCAAAAACAGCCTACAATGCCTGTTTCACACAGCCGATCATGCTAACTGTGGAGCAATCTGGCCGCGCACGACCATGCCGACCCCCGCGATATCACTGTGACCAGCATACTCACCTTATCATCAAAATGGCCAAAGAGAAATTGCTGGTTGCATCAACGACCCCTGTTGATCTCGACGATTCCGACAAAAAGAAGTCAACTGAATCTGACTCCTCCAAGGTAGAGTCAAAAGACGACGAGTCCAAGGAATTGGCGGACGAGGAGACGACCAAGGACGATAAGGAAGACAAGAATGAAGACAAGACTGAGGACAAGGACACCGAAACCACCGCAGTCAAGCCAAAGGAGCCAGGATCAAAGGAGCTGAAACAAGAGGAAGAAGGAGGGGCTCCTCCTCCACCTGAGAGACCACTTTCACCTCTTTCGAGGGTCAAGAAGGACCTCCAGGATGCCTTCCCCAATGTCGAGGAAAAGTATGTCCAGGCTGTCCTTATCGCCTCTCAGGGCCAACCTGACCCTGCATTCAATGCCCTTCTCTACATTCTGGATCCGACCTTCGTTCCTGACATCACGCCTCCAGCTCCACCAGTGCCTCCAAAGCAGGAATTGACGGACGACGAACTTTTGGCTAGAAAGTTGCAAAAGGAGTTCGAGAGAGAGGACAGAAAGCGCCGTGCTCAGCATCGCCGCAAGAACCAGCAGCCTGTCCCAGGAGACGAGTCGCCTGACGAAATTGACCAATTGAAGGAGTCCTTCACCCAGGGCTTCGAGGAGGCCAAGACCACAATCAACGGCTGGGTGCTGGGTCTCTCAAAGAAGTTCTCCCAGGAGCCAGATAGCCAGAACCGCACGCAAAGCCCCAAGCTCTTTGGCGCTTTGGGTGGCCTGTCATTTAACCAGAACCAGAGAGCCAAGCGTTTTGACGAGGATCCGGAGATTTTGTCTCTGGACTTCAACCAAAAGGTGAACCTCGAGCAGGACAAGCCCCCTCTGTTGCCCAAGCGTGAAAAGAGCCCTGGACAGAAGGAGGAGCCCAAATGGCAGCCACTCAACTCTGATGTCCCAGTGACCCTGGATGCTTTCCTTGTGACAGACTCTGAGGACGAGGAGCCAGCTACAGCTACGACGAATAAGAAGTGATGAATATTCCTTATATGAGGTCTGCAAAGCAGGCCAATTATGTCTGTACGACGTGAATACGATATACACAAATACAACGCGGCTACAGGCAAATTCTCAAGTAATCAACATTTATATAGTATCCTCATTATATAATTGCGATCTAATTATTGTTTAGTGCATTGTTGCAAAATTGAGTCGCGATAGCTTAAGTGTAGGGCCTAGTTAGGCTACATCGGTATTATACCATATGAATAGCTATTTACAGCGCCATGGACCCATGGGCTACACGCCGAATTGGTAAGCTATTTATAAGGCCAAACGTGAAGACACGCTGGGTCTATAACGGGTGGTGATAATATACACAGGACATAACAGGCCGGGGTCAGTTGGGAAACATGTGCAACCCCTTGAACACTTTTTCGTAATCGTTCGTACAGTCGTGAGATAGCGAGGCATTTTGCAAGCCCGGGTGGTATTTCGCCCAGTTGACAGAAGGGGCGGATACTATGCGGTGCTGCTGAGGCAAATCGGAGGCTTTACTGTGGGATTTGGCGTCAGAGCTGGAGGAGGCGTCGGGACAAATGAGGCGCACGTAGAAGTCGACCAAGGCCAGCTTGGACTCGAACTTGGCGGCTTTCCTGAGGGCAGAGAGTTCCGTCAAGTCGTCTTCGATTTTTGCTTTCGTGGAGGCCAACATGTCGGCCGTGGCGGCCAATGCCACGTAGTCCGGGTTCCTGTCTAGCTGCTGGGGCTTTGCTGGCTCTGGCTCTTCCTCGTGGGATTCGGAGTCGTAGTCGTCCTCCTTTGGGGTCAAAAGAGGCAGGTTTTCGTAATGCTCGTTGCGGGAAAGCTCAAACGACACGGATTTCTGGCGGGGCTTGTGGGGCAGGGACAGGGAAGGCGACGAAGGCGAAGGCAGCCGTTCTTGCACGGGTTGGAAGTACTCCTTGCCTTTTGCCTTCTTGTGCCTGTTTGTGATGTCCTCCAACTCCAACTTCCGCTTGGGGTATATTTCTGAAAGACTAGCGGCCATGGCGAAGCAGAAAGAAGTGATTAGAAGGCTGCCTAGCGGCTGGAAAGGATTTGTGGGAACAGCTTGGAGGGGGGCAAAAAGGGTGGATTAACGAAGCAGGTGTTGTTTTTGAGGTGGGGAGGCGGCCGGGCAGGCGACTTCTTGCGAGAAGGCTAGGAGGGTGGTTCTGGCCTAATACGCCTTTCAAGGCCTTTTTGAAATGGTGGTTTTAGTCGACGGGAAAAGACGACAAAGGTGGTGGAAAAATGAGGGCTGGCGCCAGAGCAAGGAGAAAAATACGCCCAGGGAATGCGCTCCGGAGGCACGGGTGCGGGGCCCCGGGCTGGTGGTGGTACCCCCAAAAAAGCCGTTTTTTGGGGGCGGGGCAGAAGTGGGGGCAGCGTGGGGGAGCCCTCCATCGATCCGGACGCCAATTCCGTAAGCAAATTTATGAAAATCACCTCCCCAGGCCCTGCCGTCGACGGCCGTTCCCACCTGCTGGCACCGTGCTCGGTACAGAGCCGCGCGGTTTGGCGTGGTGCACGGGTGTGAGGTGTTGCTGCGAGCGACCTTTCGGACTTCTATCGAAGCCACAAAGAAGAAGCAATCGGTGAGTGTAGTTTTTTGAGAAAATATGGGTTTTGGTATTTTTTGGTGATAGTATACCAGAAGCTGTACCCTTCAAAAGGTTCTTTATGGTTTAGAAAATAGTATTGGGGCACCCCACGAAGTGGCGTGTTATGGCTGCAAACTGCTCACTGACATCATTAAGGTTCGTTGAGACCTTCACTACGAGACACCAGTACCCCAAAGTCTAAATCTCCCGAAAAGAGAAGCAGAATATTTGGAAATGGCTTATTTCGGCAAGATGCCCCAAATAAAAATTAAACTACTGGACCTGCCTCCTTAGCCTCAACGGTTTGGTCTCGTGTGTGTGTACGGGTGCAGGGCCCCTCATTTGCAGCCAAAGGCACTGTCTTTTTTCTTGACGTTCGATTGTTCCGATGGGCTTTGTTTGTTGATCTGGAGGTGGTCGTGTTTTCGTGAGATGTGTTGATTGAAGCATAAAGGGGGATGTAGATGCTGTAGTAGGAGATTGGAGTTGTATTGAAGGTGGTGATAGGGGTATTCAGGGGAGGGGTCATGAGAATCAAAGGTTAGCGATACATCAGGGTTTATGATTATTGGCCGTACGATTCGGACTTTGGAACGGTCTGTGTTTTGATTCAAGGAAGTAAGCGGGGTGTGGTGAAGTCAGGGCTACTTTGACGTTTTGTGGTATCTGGTGGTTCGTTTTACTGAAGAAGGCGAAGACCAAACTCCCGTTTTGATCTAAACGGCGGATATCCCGTTTGCCATATATTCAATCCAAAACTCGAAAACAATCTGCTTCGAACTACATTTCAATCTGATCAAACGTAAGGGGTAAAGTTTAATTCAGACAGCACAGCAAAACTCTGCTATCATTCCCAGCACCCGACTCATCGCTCAAATCCACTTTGTTACTTTGTCACTTTGTGGAATAAAACCTTCTAGGAGTTTGCCTCCACTCTCCCCCAAATCTCATCAGAAGAAGCGGCGGTGCAAAGCAGCGGCGGTGCACAGCAAAATGTCAGACTGACGAAAACGCTGCATGAACCGGGATCCCTACATTTAGAGCCGTGCGTCCCATATCCCCCAATCCCAGTTCATCCAAAGTAAAAACCACGGTTTTGAATACAGAAAAAGGCAATATCCAGCAACAGACCAATTTTCAGATGACCAAAACCCACGCAACACCGATCCAGTTGAGATCGATTTTTCGTCAACGCACATAACCCGCTAGTAGCGGTGTCGGGAACAGTTGCCAAAACGCACTCTACATCGCTCGCCTGGTACACCCTGGAAAAGCAGATGAGGCGCTAGCCTACCCGGGATCGTCCTAAACTCTCTCAGCCCTGCATAAATACAGCCTACCAGCGTTAGCGAGACGTCAAGATGCACCGACGGTAACGAGGGGAAGATAGAAAAAAAAAATGGAAAAGCATTTGAAGGATGGCGATTTCTGCCCCGGAGGGAAAGCAAATTCCGCCTCCCACCAGTGCCCCAAATGGATGGAAACTCAGTCGTCTGTGCAGCGTCTAAGGCAGGGCGTGGGTGGTATCGCACCAATGAGAAGGCAGAACAAGCCACATAGATAAGACGAACGGCGGCACTTCCGAGGGCTGGTCCGCCCACAGTGGCGGCGGGTGTTCCCCTGGGAATGTGCCCTCGAAAGCCCTCGACTGTGCCCTCGGTGCTACCCTCGGCCAATGGCCCTGGTGCTTTCGGGCCGGCTCTCATCACCAGTGATTAGCAGGCGCCAAATTCGACAGAAACCGGGAAGTTCTCGCCGAAGCTTCAGCAACTACTCCATCTTCTTTTCCTTCCCTTTTGGCAGCCCTAATGACCGAAGAGTCCAACGCAAAACTGCTATGGCTGATGTACAAAAACGCCAAAAACCTTCTTCCTTATCGAACAAGAATGGAAAACTTGACCTGGAGGATGATGCACACCATGGGCCAAAAACACGACATGTCCAGCATTCTGGGGTTTTTGCTGTCGCCTTTGCTTCACCACCCGGGCCTTTCTGACCAGCTGCCGGAACTTTCCAGAGTCGATCCAGGCCACGACGAGTTCGACTATGTTGCCCATATCAGACGAATAGGCCAGGACTACGAGGCCTCGTCCATGAACGACCTGCCGGCGAAAACACACCAATCTGCGTCCTCGGGAAAGGCTGGCTCCATTTCCTCGGATGCTTCCAGAAAAAGACCGGCTCCGTTTCTGCCTGCCGTGCAACCGACCCACCATCTGAACCTCTCTGCTGCTTTGAAAGGCCTGGCTGGGGCGCCAGTTAAGATAGAAGATCCTGGCATCGCCATGGATCCGTTGGATTTGGGCACCGATAACGGTTTTTCGTTTCTGCTTGATCCGCTTGCTTTTGAAGGCCCTAACGACTCGTTTAGACAACCGTACCAGGGCCAATTTTCCCAGCTGCTAAAGAACCCCACCCGCATGTCCATGAGCAGCTCACAGGCTACGCTTACCGACGCCAGAGGAATCCTGCTGAGTGCTCCTCGTCCCATCAACATCCATAACCATGTGGCTGAACCACCCAGCAAACGCCAGACGCCTCTGCTGCTGTACGATCCGTATGCGTTGCCAGGGTCCGTTTCTGGTTCCATTTCTGGATCGATTTCCGGTTCTTTCCATAATCCGCCTTCAGCAGGTCCCTCTTCCTTCTTGTCCAACTCCTTTGCTCGTCAGGATAATTCCTTGGTTAGTGTGGCTGAATATTTCGGAGGAGACGCAAACTGGAACAGTCCCTACGATTTAGACGACGGTCTGGGCCTGGGCTCCGTTCCCGGTCTGGTGGCCTATGTTCCTTCAGATACCCCAATCAGCCGTCTGGGCTCCACAGTGAACGACCATGCATTTAGCTTCCCTGAAAGAGAAGGAATGGGCATCCCGCTGAACTACCTGAGCCTGTGGAACGACAGCTTTTTCGACGATGCACCGGCTGCAGTGTCGGCTGCTTCCCTGGCTCCCAGACCAGCCATGCCTTCGAGACACAGTTTCCAAGGAACCCAAAGACCACCCATGAAACGCAAAGATAGCAGGCCTCGGAAAGAGAGCATCAAGGAAGCAGAGCTGAGAGGAAACCGCCCAGCCTCGAATGCCAATTTACAAAACGGCCGTACAGAGTGTACGAATTGTCACACTCGAACAACGCCGTTGTGGAGAAGAAACCCCGAAGGTGAGCCTCTTTGCAACGCCTGTGGCTTGTTCTTGAAGCTCCACGGAACCGTCAGGCCGCTCAGTCTCAAGACAGACGTTATCAAGAAAAGAGCACGGACAGCAGATAAAAAGAAGGACGGCAAGAAGAGCGAGGCCAAGGCCGACCCCAAAAAGAATAATCGCAAAACCAAGGCAGACGGTGACGATAACAACCCGACCCCCCACGACAAAGAACAGAAAAAGGGCACCACCAAAAGCAAAACCAAGGACCCACGGCGCAAACCAGGCCAAACCCCGCCAGTTTCCAAACCCAACGCTCCTCTGCAGCCGTCCATGCTTCTGCCTCAACGAGGGCAAAGAAGCTCATCCAATTCGCCAGTTCTGTGGACGCAACGATCACAGGTGGCCGAGTTGAACTCGGTGGTGAAGGAGGAGCTTCCTGCGATCGACGAGAAGAATGTGTTTGAACGGCAGGATGACGAGGGTAAGTGGGACTGGCTCAGCATGACTTTGTAATATAGATAGACGGTGACATAGACCAATAGACTTACGAGGAGTGGAAGGTGTAGTATGTAGATGTGATTTTGGTGGATTTCTGTTGGAAGAAGATATTGATGTCTGGAAGGGAAGCTGATGATGCATGTGTTTGCAACCACATATGGATTGTCATGGATTGGCAGGTGATCCTCTTGCACCAGGAAGTCAGTTATTTGAGAAAGGATGAATTGGCACTGGATCAATTAACGTTGCTTTCAATCATTTGAGGAAGCATGAAATGACATTGAATCATGAACTGTCGCTTCCAATCATTGTGTCAATTTTTCAGTATAGTAAGAGGCTCTACCGTATAGTCTCAGAATCACCAAACACATACTTCTGAAACTTCAAAATTTTCAACGAAAGCTGAAAATCACTCTTCTTCAATTGCCAGCCTAATCAGCAACTTTAACAGCCATCTCCTTCTCTTGCTGGGCTGCCAAACTCACAAGCGCAACTTCTCACCATAGTACTATATAATACCGTCCAACAATACCAACGCAACGGCACCTAAATCCCCTGAATTCGCTGGAAACTTGCTGATCGGGCCCTCTTCTTTTAAAAACTATAAATACCCCAAATCCCCACCCTCAAACTCCCAAATCCAAAAAAAATCACCACCCTCTTCTGGACCACCGCCTACCAAAAGCACGGTGTATATCACGATCGTCGGAGATCTGCCCCACGTCAATCGGGGAACGTCACTCTTCTCCATCGGCCCAGACGACGAATCAAATGAACCCACAAAAAAAACTCAAACTTTAAAAAATCAACCCCCCCTCAGAATCCACTATCACCGCTCCTTGTCCACCTTTGATCGCGAAAACCAACTACATAATGCCTTCGCCAAAAGTGTCAATCTACTACTGTGCCCGGTGCAAATGGCAAAACAGGGCTGTGTGGTATCTCCAGGAGATATTGCAAACCTTCAGCGACCCGGAAAAGAACTTGATTCCTGAGGTCGCCGTGTGCCCTAGTTATGATCAACCGGGACTTTTCGAAATCACTGTTACCGACAAGGAGGGCGAAAAAACGGTGTACAAACGGCGCATGAAGAAGCTGACGGAGAGCCAGTCGGAGCCGTACTTCTACGATGGGTTTCCTGATTCGAAGCTTTTGAAGGTGATCCTTAGAAACGCTCTTTTTCCAGAGGCTGGTCTAGGTCATGCTGAGAGTGTCAATCCTAAGGAACCGGGGCTAATGCTTACGTGTGAAAAGTGCAATGTTGAGGAGAGCTGAATTGACAGTGATAGATGATTTTTTGGGCTCTTTGGGCCCATTGACATCTGGTCAGCTTACATCCATAATGTAGGGGTCCACAGGCAACAACTAAAGAGTCAATAAAGGCATTGAGTTACCACAATTGAGCTTTAGTAGATGAAAGAAGGGTATGCCAATTGAGGGTATGTCCGGCGCTACATGGTACTTATGGGCGAGAATTGAAGATGCTATACGCTGCCGTATGGTACTGATCCTGGGGATATTCTTGGAGATTGGCGATTTTGCAGGGAGCGAAGCGGTATCCATCGAATGGTGTCCAAAGCTCTCGCTGCCGTGACGACGTTGTCATATTGACGCTGCCATAATGACGCTGCCATAATGACGCTGCCATAATTACACTGCTTTTGCAGCCGTCACCAACAAAGTAGACCCGTTGACCTCAAAATCCCACTGGGATGTCAGTCATGCTGCTAATTAATAAGGGTTGCTTTGTCTCCTTGAGAATATCTGCACTGGGTACCACGGACGATTTTGAAAATTAAGAAACGCTTGCGGGCGTCTGGAGATATGCTGGCAACAATGACGACCGACCTTCTTTTAATAAGTTAACTCCACCTTCACACTCGATGCTGATTATGGGAACGGCCCAAATTTTGAAGTACCGCCCGTATACTCCCACCACTAACACCTCACTGGTCGTTCAACAACTGCTTCTCGTTTTCATCCACATCATCCCAGCCCTTTTCGGCAACCGCATAGGGCAACGACGAAGCTAATTCTCCAAACGAACCCAGCGCCTTGGGAAAACCGAGCATGTGCTGGTATTGGCGTACCACGTATGTTGCAGAAACATTCTTCCTTCCAGAGGTGGGAACCTGCCCGTTGGACAAATCCTCCTCCAGCTCCAAAGATGACAGCGTGCCGCTTCTGCCCGTGCCGCTGGTGCTGTTGTTCTCGCTGCCGTTGCCGTTTGTTTGGTTGTGGCGGTTGATCTGCTTGGCGATCTGCTTCCACTTGTGTTTTTCGCCTGCTGGAAGAAGCTGCTTGAGGAGCTCAACGTCGTGCTCTTGAAAGTGTGCCGACTCCTTGTTGTCCCTCTCGCCGTCTTCCCGAGGGTTCTGGTTTTGTGGAGGTGCTTGTGGAATTTGAAGTGGATGCTGAGTGGGCTGATGGCTCTGAGAAGAGATTTGATTATGCTGGACGGGCGTGTGATGCTGGAGATGCTGAGGGATTTGCTGGGGAAATTGCTGAACCTGGTGTGGTTGAAGCTGCCCCAGCTGGTGGTTCAATTGATGGTGGTTTTGACTGATATGAGATTGGCCCATTGGCTGGCCCAAAGGCTGACCCAAGCCGTGGATTTGCGGCTGAAGCGGAGCCGGTTGCACCTGTTGATTAAGTGGGAGCTGGCCTGGGAACTGTGGATGTTGTAGTTGAGGTTGCTGGCCCAGTTGTGGCGGATTCTGGAGATGCTGTGGGAGTTGAACTGAGGCTCGAGTCTGAGCTGTCCCCGAGAACAGACCGTCGAATTGAGAATAAGGCGCCACCGGGACGCCCACATAGTTACCAGGGTTCTGTTGAGCTCGTGGATTTGCGGATTCGTCGTACTCGAGCGGCTCCTTAAAGCCCCCTGTCGAGGACAAGGACGCGGATCCCGAGTTCAACTTGAAGTAAGGATCCGACGGCGGCCCCTGAGGAAAATCTGGATTCATCTTACAAAAAAGCTGTTTTGTGGTAGCTTGGAGGTAAGATTTTCGGCGCGATCAGCGATGATCTCTAGAGACTATTTTGGTCTCGAGAATGCGATGCAACTCGGCAATCTGGTGATGTTCCACGATGTAGTAGGAGCGGAAAACACAGGCCGCTGGGGGTTTAAGGCGGGATTTGGAAAATTCTTTGCGTCAAGAGAAGACAAGACCAAGAATAGTGCAGCAGGGCGGAGATGTGTGCTGCGTTGCCGACTGGAACAGATGAAGAATAAAAGAATACAGAAAACAAGGGGTCGTGACACGGGTCAATTTAAACACATATATACGCCGAGGGAGCCTAACGCCGAGGTGGTCCTTCCCTGTGAAGCCAGGCTCGGCGACTCGATAATTATTTTTTGCTTTCTCGCTGTTTCAGGGAACCCAGGTGAAACACGCCGCAGCCGTCACGCATGCCAGGTCCCAGCCACCGTACAACTTCGCAAGGCGGACTGGTGGATTTTTTTTTTTTTTAAATCAAATACGGCCCGCCCTGGGCGTAAGCCGAGACCTAATTCGGGTTTTTTGTTTGGTCCAACGCACGCGTGGTGCTGCCTTGAACTTTTGCACCCGTGGCACTTGCTGCAGAAAAGTCGGACTCTTGCGCTTTCCCAATGCAAAATGGACTATTACTCATCGTCAGTGTAATCTTCCGACGAAGCCTCTGACTCCGACTCGCTCAACTCTTCGATTTGGTAGCTCACTGGCGTTTTTCTCTTTCTTGGCGGCGAGTTTTCCCCGACGATCATCAAGTCATCGAGCTCATCGTTTAAATTTTGTTTCGCCTTTGATTTGCTCTTTGGTTTCGCGGGCACAGCTTGAGGCTCTGGCGTCGAGACCGCACGAGCAGACTTGCTGGAAGACGTGTCTTCGTCTCCATCGATGGTCTGGCTCACCTGCTCAATGAGGTCATCGTCCGAGCTGTCGCCAAACATCAGGCTTCTCTTGGACTCGGGCTTCTTTTTCGAGGCCTTCGGCTTGCTGAAAAAGGTAAGAAGATTATCCTCAGGTGCCTCCTTAGGCAGCTCCTGGGGCAGTTCCTTCTTGCCGAACGGAAGCTGACCCTGGGTCTTCTTGGGCTTGCTGACTCCTTCAGTGGCCTCTTTCTTCACAGTTGGCTTGGGAGTGCTGCTGTTCAGCTCAGGCACAGCCTTTTTGGTCTTCTTCTTCGGAGCTCCGTAGTCCTCATCCTCGTCCTTCACAGCCTTCCGCCTTCTCTTGGTGGCTTTGGTACCCTTGCCCGTAATCAAGCTATTCCTCTCCTTTTCGTCTTCGTCCAAAAACTTCTCCCAGGCAGTGACGAATACTTCAAGATCCTCGTTCCACAAGTCCTTGGCGCTCTTGCCCAAGAGAATGTTGAGCTCGCTCTCCTTTTCGTCACGCTGGTTCAACAACTTTTCGTACCTCTCTCTAGTCAAAGACCAGAGCGACATTCCAAGCAAGTAGTCATATTGAGTGTAGACGTTCTCTGGCTTATGTTCACTTTCGTCTTCTTCCTCCAAATCGTTGATACCTCTGGAGTTCAAGAGACTGACGTCACCAACTTCCTCCTCTTCTTCCTGCAAAGCTTCCTCGGCCTCCACGAACAAGTCGCTTCTTTGCTCGACATTAACTCTCTTACCTTGCTTATCAAACCTAGCGAAGTTGAGTTCCATCAATCTTTCCACCAAGATACTTCTCTTCTTGTTCGAGACAGTCAACTCCTTGTCGATGATCAATTTAATGAAACGTGCCTGCTCACTCAATCTGACCAATTGGTTCAGCAAGTCCTCGGATAAGTGATCCTTACGCTTCTGATAGTATTCCAAACGGACGAAGTAGAAGTCACGCAAGATTTCGCTGGCGCTCTCGTACTTCTTGATTCTGCCGGCTGGGTCAAAAGCGACCATGTTACCAGTGGAAACAGTCGAGATCAACTTGAATCTCTCGAGCAATCCAATGTGGTGGGACTTCTCCATCTCAGCTTGGGTCAATTTGATCACAAATCGGATACTGGCAGCATGCTGCTCCTCCATA